ACACAAAAAAAATACCCCAAAAAATTCCTGAAAAAATCCCAAAAAATCCTGAAAGAAACCCCAAAAAAATCCTAAAACAATTCCAAAAAAAACCCCAAAAAATCCTGAAACAATCCCAAAAAAAACCCCAAAAATCCTGAAAAAAAACCCCCAAAAAAATCCTAAAACAATTCCAAAAAAACCCCAAAAAATCCTGAAACAATCCCCAAAAAACCCCAAAAAATCCTGAAAAAAACCCAAAAAAATCCTAAAACAATTCAAAAAAACCCCCAAAAATATCCCAAAACAACCCCAAAAATCCTGAAAAAAACCCCCAAAAAATCCTAAAACAATTCAAAAAAACCCCCAAAAAATCCTGAAACAATCCCAAAAAAACCCCAAAAAATCCTGAAAAAAACCCAAAAAATATTAAAAAAAAAAAAGAAAAAAATTGTGAAAAAAACTCTCAATAATCCTGAAAAGCCACGAAAAACCCCAAAATATCCTCCCCCAAAAAATCCCCAAAATCACCAAAAATTCCCAAAAAAAAAACCCAAAAAAAATCCTGAAAAATTCCCCCCAAAAATCCCAAAAAAATCCCACAAAAAAATCCTGAAAAAATCCTGAAAAAATCCCAAATTATAGAAGAAAATTGGGGTTTTTTGGGGTCATTTTTGGGGTTTTTTTGGGTTGTTTTGGGATTTTTTGGGAACATTTTTTAGGGCTGTTTAGGGGATTTTTGGGATTGTTTTGGGATTTGGATTTTGATTTTTTGGGGGTTTTTGGGGCTGATTTGGGGTTTCTTTGGGGTCATTTTGGGGTTTTTTGGTTGTTTTGGAATTTTTGGGGGTTTTTGGGGCTGGTTTGGGATTATTTTGGGTTTGGTTTTGGGTTATTTTGGGGTGATTTGGGGAGGATTTTGGATGATTTTGGGGAGGATTTTGGGATAATTTTGGATTATTTTGGGATGGTTTTGGGAGGATTTTGGGAGGATTTTGGAATAATTTCGGGGTGATTTTGGGATGACTTTGGGATTATTTAGGGATGGTTTTTGGATGGTTTTTGGGATTATTTAGGGATGGTTTTTGGATGGTTTTTGGGATTATTTTGGGATGATTTTGGGATGATTTTTGGGATGACTTTGGGATAATTTGAGGATTATTTTGGGATGATTTTGGGAGGATTTTGGGATAATTTGGGGATTATTTAGGGATAATTTTGGATTATTTTGGGATGGTTTTGAGATGATTTTGGAATAATTTTGGGATGATTTTGGGAGGATTTTGGATGATTTTGGGATGGTTTTTGGATAATTTTGGGAGGACTTTGGGATAATTTTGGATTATTTTGGGATGGTTTTGGGATGATTTTGGGATGATTTTGGGATAATTTGGGGATTATTTAGGGATAATTTTGGATTATTTTGGGATGGTTTTGGGAGGATTTTGGGATGATTTTGGGATGGTTTTTGGATAATTTTGGGATTATTTTGGGATGGTTTTGGGAGGATTTTGGGGTGATTTTGGGAGGATTTTGGGATGACTTTGGGATAATTTTGGGATTATTTTGGAAGGATTTTGGAATAATTTTGGGATTATTTTGGGATGATTTTGGGAGGATTTTTGGGATGACTTTGGGATAATTTGGGGATTATTTAGGGATAATTTTGGATTATTTTGGGATTATTTTGGGATGGTTTTTGGAAAATTTTGGGATAATTTTGGGAGGATTTTGGGATGACTTTGGGATAATTTGGGGATTATTTAGGGATAATTTTGGATTATTTTGAGATGGTTTTGAGAGGATTTTGGGAGGATTTTGGAATAATTTTGGGATTATTTTGGGATGGTTTTTGGATAATTTTGGGATTATTTTGGGAGGATTTTGGGGTGATTTTTGGGATGACTTTGGGATAATTTGGGGATTATTTTGGGATGGTTTTGGTATGATTTGGGGATAATTTTGGATTATTTTGGGATGGTTTTTGGAAAATTTTGGGAGGATTTTGGGATGACTTTGCGATAATTTGGGGATTATTTAGGGATGATTTTGGGAGGATTTTGGAATAATTCTGGGTTTATTTTGGGATGGTTTTTGGATGATATTTTGGGATGATTTTGGGGTGATTTTGGGGTGATTTTGGGGTGATTTTGGGAGGATTTTGGATTATTTTGGGATGGTTTTTGGATGATATTTTGGGGTGATTTTGGGGTGATTTTGGGATACTTTTGGGTTATTTTGGGATCATTATGGGATGGTTTCCTCTCCCCCCGCAGTTGCTGCCCCAGGGCCGCCAGGGGGCGCTGCCGCCGCAGCTCCAGCAGGGGGCGCCACAGGTACCGGAAATTTGGGAAATTTGGGAAATTTGGGGAAATTTGGGAAATTTGGGGGATTTGGGGGAATTTGGGAAATTTGGGGAATTTGGGGGAATTTGGGAAATTTGGGGGAATTTGGGGAATTTGGGGAATTTGGGGAAATTTGGGGAATTTGGGGAATTGGGGGAATTTGGGGGAATTTGGGGAATTTGGGGAAATTTGGGGGAATTGGGGGAATTTGGGGAATTTGGGG